TTCTGCGCAACAAAGTAACACATGTGCAGGTGCACAAGAACGACGCACATGTCTAGAGTTGAGCAAATCATGCGATTCCTGACGCTGAGGTGATGGTTGGACCAAGGATTCTACCCTCGTTCTGAAGTGATTCTCGAATCTGGTTGACAGCAAAAGAACGTTTTTTTCACATCCACCTATACTTTATACCACCAAAAGATGTGATAAACAAATTTAATAGCTTAAAAGATGGATTTCACCGTATCTCCTGGAGATGCATCTCAAATGTTCGATGGTTTGCACCTGTCCTGTGAAGGGAGAAGATGGTGCAAATATGCTCCGGTGGAGAATCTATCCACGGCAAAACACGGCTCAATGCTGCTCCAATGAACGCCAAGTGACCTTGGCCCATGCATTCATGGACCCGTTCCTGATGAGCTGCAGCCAGCGTTGGATTCGGCAGTGCTGCGTTGCATCAAATAAAAAACTATAGAGGCTTTGCAAGGACCAGTAGCAGAAAATGCTGCCTGGTATCTATCTGTCAAAACACTTGACATGGAAGGAACATGTTCCCCTTACGTTTCTGTCTTACCTCGGGGTCTAGGATTGCGCTAGCACAGTTTCAAGTTTTGTTTGAGGCGCCGGATGCATGTGTAGTGTGAAGGAGAGAACAAACAGGTTGCGGAAAAACTAGATTCATTCGGCAAACACGAGGCTAGGCCCTATACGCTATCTGAGGCCGTTCTTATGAAGGTTCTTATGAAGGTCTGACAGAGCAAAACCATACTCCCCCACAGATTAACATGGACCACTACATGGACCCTCAGAAGGGGACCCTGAAAAACTGTTGTCCTCTACAAAGGGTCCATGGTTTCAGGGTCCACGTTGGTCTTCGGTCGGGTACATTCCCGGAACCTTAATTACTTACTTGACGTTGTAGGAAGTGTTTGCTTCCCGCCCACACAAGTCCAAAAGTTGAGACGAAAACACAAGCATTGTTCCATCCACTGCATCTGAATGGGCAATCCACCGGCAAATGGTCGGAGTGTGAGTGATGGTCGAAATGGAGAAACACTGTCCGTCCGTAAGACGTTTTGGGGAAACAAACCCACCCGAGCTACTCAGAGAATCAAGAAAAACACGTTGTATCATGTTGGTGGTTCCGGTTTCTCCAGCTAATGCTTTGATTGCGGGTACATTTTGGGCCCCTCCCTCAATGTGAAGCAAAGGCGCACTAGGTTCACCTCCGGCAGTGTATCCTCACCAGAGATGGGCGCTTGATAGCTCTGGTCGGTGCAATCAAGTTTAATACAATGCTCGAACTATGCTGTGTAGTATCCGTGGGCTGTTGGTAAAGGAATACATCTTGCTCTGCGATGCTCTGTGCATATCTTGGCCATACCTGGGAATTATCTTGAGAGAGTTTATGGTATTCCACTACAAGCTATATATAGATGCATTATTATATTTGGATTCGACAATAGATCCTATTTTGCGCTACTTGGGGTATCACGTAGTCTCCCAGTATCATATTCCTGAAAGTGGAGTAAATACCACGACTTCGCCGTCTGTCCTCCATGAGATCAGCTGAAGATGGAACCTCACAAAGCAACGCAGGTCGCCTTACCCCCCAAATATGTAGCACACTCATCTCAACAAGATCGTGGGGCTGTGCAGGCAAGTCAGGATTTTCCCAAGAATTGTGATCAGCGCTCAGCACTTGTCTTAGTAATGCCCATTGTGTACTAGAAACACACCCACAATTCAAGAAACCCAAAGTACAAAGGGATGCTTATTTGTACAGCAGGACCAAGTGAACTGCAGTGAAACACCTAGATAGTAGACAAAAATCCATGAGTTTTTTCACGGCTTGGTGCCTCGTGCTCGGAAGGCGCGCGGGGCGGCTCGCTCAGCCGGGCGCGGAGCTCTGCCAGTTGCTGCTCCACGGATTGAATCCTAGGTCTGCATCTGCATTGTTGCCAAGAATCAAGTGGAACAAGGACATGCTGGTATAGGCGGGATGTATATAGGGATGTATGATATTTGATCAAATCTGCAATGTATGATCATACGACGGCTGTGTAGGCCACTATGATCCATCTTTCGTTCTTAGGCAAGCCTGCTCATTTGGTAGATGAGATGGCTCCATATATATATATATATATGCTCAATTCGAAGAAAATGGTGTAATAGCCTCCAATGTGAAAGTTGAGCAAATTGTTGGACAAAAATGGAAAACGCCTACAGTGAACCAACATAGAACACAGCACACACTTTCCTTTCTTCAGCAAGCTATATCCAACCCTACTGTATCAGCAGCACCGCACTGCTGCCAAGTGTCGCGTCGTGATGTTTCTGCTGCTCAGATTGCAAGGCAGCTGCAAGTTCTTCCACCCGCTGCGTCACGGATTGAAGTGCGGCCTGTCCGGATTTGCTGCGTCCACTGGTGACTTCCTGTCCCATCCCTGGTTGGAAGGAACTGGATGAAAGGAAGGGATGGTCTGGTAAGGCCAAGGGCCAAGGAAGGAAATTAGACGTACTCTTTCATGATAGACGTACTCTCATGAGTGCCTCAAAGAACTCATCTGGAAGCCCAAGAAAGACGTGTCGAATCACGACCCCCCCCCCCATCAAGGCCTGCATGCCAAGATCTGGCCCTTCCAAACTAAATGATGGCGGATCCATCATGAGAATTGCATCTGTTTTTGTGTGGTCTCTCTTTTGTTCCATCTTTGCAACTCGTGCTTCTGCTTGACTCTGAACTCTGAACTCTCTGTTGTGATATGTTGTGATTTCTCTTGCTGCTTGCAAAGCCACCTGCACCTTCTTGTTCCAGACCATGATCTTGCGCTCTTGCGCTCGTGGTTTTGTGTCGGCTACCATGCTACAAGCTCATAAGGGAGCCCAACAGCGGACAGCGCAGTTTTCCAGTCCTCCGCCCCAAAAAAACATATCCCTTGTCATGCAAACAAATGATTCACGTACATAGGAAAATGCATGAACGTACCAATTCTTTGGAGGGATGTCTGGGGCTTTTCACTGATGACTTCTTCTTTTATCTCACGTTTTTCATCCTCACCAAACCAGCCAACCAGTAACCTCAATAACCTAGCAAGATCCACCCGAGCCAACCGAGCCCAGGACTGTCCGGGTGCTGCCCCGGCAATGCAGAAGCGTTCGAAATGGCCTAGGCGTTGCGGGGCTTCTTCGCGCGACGAAGGTTAAGGCATCGCATGGCGGTATCGCTGGAGAGATCAAAATGGATCAAGAAACAGTCAATAGCAATCACATTTAATTATATTTAATTGCTTACAATAAGAATATGCAACAACAATGGTTATTTCTACTTCGTAGATGACAAGCCAGCTTTTTGAAGGACCCAGATCGTGTGTTCAACATGATGTAACTCCCCAAATCTGAGATTGGTCAACATCGGTCATTGTATTCCCACTGCATCTGCTACCACTCGCCGGACCTTTCAAATCCAATCCCACTGAGGCTGCCCACTACGACGCCACAGAAACACAAATCACAGCTATTGGAGAAGCCCTGGCCGGTTCTGTTGCTTCCACCCCTTTGGCTTTCTTGGCTCGTTTTTGAAGTGGCTGAAGCAAGAAGCAGTGAAGCATGCCCCTTCAGGCGAAGGTGAGAGAGTGGTTTCGAGTGGTCTGAGAGGTGAAGCGGCAATCCGGGTGTGACATGGTGTGACCAGAAGTGAATGAAAGGGAGAAGTCTGTGGCACGAAAGCCTTCTCTTTTTGCATCCTTGAGCCGGACTCTCTGGCAAAAGCAGGGGGTTCATTCAGGTCACGTGTATCTATTTTTGCTCTCGTGACTGTCCCAAATTGTAGGGTTGGGGGAAGTCTGCCTGGACCTGGGATAAGTTACTAAGTTCAATTGTATCATTGTATCATTATCATCCACGAACTGACCCACTCCAGCAATGCAAAGTTGTGCTCATGCGAGGTTCCTGATTGGCAGGATGACTTGTCCTTGTGAGCCTACAGTCGCCTACGACCCACCAGCCCCCGGAGTTTCCCAAACCGACACGGAGTTTTCGTTCCCCAAAACACCAAAGGGGCTGCTCATCCTCGCGCCTGGCCCATGCCAGTGGGCCAGTGCCTGTGTCCAGGGCATCACTGATCAAAGAATGGACCTGTTGCACTACCTGGGTTGGGTGACAAAGACCAAGAAGACAAGGAATGGATTCTGATAACTATTGTGTGACCATGTTCTGGTTTCGTTGTCAAAATAACTTCCTGATCTGATCCACTAGCAATTAAGGATAAGTAAGGGTTATCCATTTGGGAATCCGGTTTTGACAACTACTTACGTATAAAACTTCTCCCAGCATGCCCCACCAAAGCAGAAATCGCTCTGAGCTTCACCAAACCATCAGAACCTCTCTCTTGGAGCGGCATCTGGTCCTCCCCAAATGGCGAGGACCACACGACACGACACCACGATGGCCCGGTCGCAACGCCCATGGGTCGGTCGCACTAAGAGCGACACCTCTCACTTAGGAGCCATGAAGCTCGCTCGCCGAACGCTGTGAGGTTTCGGTCCAAACAACTCCCAGCGAACTGGCTGAATCTGTGGGGCTGAATGCTTGGGCGTTTGGTGAATGCTTGGAGTTGGGAGAGGTAGTGGACTGCGGTCTGGGAGAACTACTCGACTCCTCTGGAGATCTTGAAAGTACATGTCTGCTGCCACATCTGCGCGTTCTGAGTTGTGCCTGAGAACAAATGGACTTTTCTCTGAAATAGATGGACTTTTCTCCGCGGGCCTACAGAGTTGCCTTGAGCAAACCTGCGGATACCGAGTGGACTCCATTCTTCTTCATAGAAGATTCTCAGGCGCAGGATGAAGGCGCTGGTCAACCAGAAAGCCATTCAAGAAAGCGTGTGATTCTGTGCCCTCCGATGTCCGTATTGGGCTCGCATTCTCGAGCTATTATCAATATTATGTTTCAAATGATGATCCGCTTAACATCAACAACAAATCCTGCTACGGCAATCTGGCCTAACCGCCGTATCGAAGCCTCAGTGGCAAAGAATGAAGGTTGAATGAAACCAACGACGCACAATGAAAGGGCTCTAGATGTTCCCAAAACTCAGCACAATTGAAATCCCTTGTGCTTTCTCACATCAAGTGACTAAGAGAGACCCTGCAAAGGTGTGAACATGCGGTGGCGGCGGTGGGGCCCGACTCACTTGCTTGGTGTTTCGGACGTCTGGGAAGCACAGCGCTCGCCGAGGTAGGCGCTCGTGAGGGTCTTGTTCAAAAGCTGTGACGCCTGGCGCTGTGACGCCTGGCCTTCCCTTTCAATCACAGTGCGTGAGACCGAAACTCCCATGTTCCTTCGATTTGCTGTGGAAACAACCACAAGGACCGGTCTTAGCTGATACGTTCCAGCTGATACAATCAGATCTCTAAGAGCTGCTGCTATCAGATCGGTTGGGAGTCCAACATCACAAACATATCAAACATGGGCCATACCCAAAGGTCTTGTTCAACAAGTGTCAGTGCAGTTTCAGTTCTACCTTGGGTAATTCACCAGGGCCCAGTGGATGAATAAGGATCAGCATTTACTCTAGCTCTATCCTGGTAGTGGGACACACTCTAGCTCTACTGTAGAGCACGGCTGATGTCAAACGCTGACTGCACTGCTCAGTTGAGCCAACCATGGAAAGAACGGAACCAGCCGATACAGGGAACCTATGGCCACGCTCGTCTGACCTTGGTTAGTTCAGTTGGGTCAAATTCAGCTTTTCCTCTAGTTGGGTCCATGGTTCTCCAACTTTCTCTCCCAGTCACCCACCGGAAACATCTAAAACTACCCCCAAAAGTCCCAGCTTCTCAAAAAGTCTCTCCATATATCCCCCTAGCGCTGCATTAGCCCGACAGCGCCCGCTGCCTGTTTCCCAAAGCGAAGCACAGATCGGCCCTCGCTGGAGGCCTGCATTAGCGTGTTGAAGTCGAGACTGGCGTCATTGGGTGGCACTGTGTTTGGGGCCAAGCTGCGCCCGCTTGCGCCCGCTTGCTTCATTGCTTCTGTGCCATAGATATTGACCGGTCGGCCACCTCTGACATCCTCTGACAAACCTCTTCGAGGTCCGGCAAACGTCACGTTGTTGGTACATGATAGGAGGCTTTTCCAATCGTCACCATCCGAGAATACATAGATATAGACAGCTTGAATTGTCAGTAACATACCTTGATAGCCAAACATGGGATGCCGCTTGGGTTCACCGGAAGCACCATGCCTTTTCCCAGCCGGCGATGCGAGACCTGCAAGGCTGTGTGAGGCAGATCTCGCTGCAAGGAATTGTGACCGTGCATCACGGAAGGAGGTAATAACTCTTTGTGCTAGATACTGGAGATGTATATATTGTATATTACAATAACTATGATTTGCATAAACATTCAGTAGAGTCCCTATGGGCATGTTCAAAGATTCAGAGTATGCAGAGTATGCACATCAAGCTTTCGCTGCGAAAAGGTTTGGGTACCTTTTCCACTCTTATATCTCGCACCACAGCTATGTCAGGAAAGGGAAAATCAGATCTGCCTGTGGTGATTCGGACTGGAATATGTTCTTTCACGATTCCGGCCCCCACGACGTTGCCAATCTTTGGTCACCCGATTCGATTGGTACCCTCCTGTGACCAGTCTCGATCCTGTGACCAGCACCGATGTTGCTGCCAAGGCGCTTCACCGTCTCCAGCTGTTCCTCTTGAAGTTCTTGACACTTTGAGGTTGCCGCCTGACTCTTGTGAGGCATTCGGAGGCATCACTCAAAACAAAAGCTCACTTCTGGGAAGCAGGGAGAGCGTACACCAATGGGCATCCCGGAGGGGGCATAGCCATCTGCTCCAAACCCACTTGAAACCCTGGGAACTTCCTCTCAGAAACCACAGTGACATGCTACGTAGTTTACAGGGGGCACCCGAAAATACACTGCATGGTGTAGATAGAGTAAATATGAGTTAATGTGACACAAACTGGTGGCTGTTTGGAGCCAGCCCCTGATGTTATTTTTATAAAATACTGTAGAAGAGTTGGAATGACATCAAGAAAGCATTCGAGGCACCCACAAAAAGTCCTTTGGATACAAATCCCACAAATGCCACATACTCCACCAGCTGAAGAAATCGGTTGCAAATATGGATCTCCTCAATCTCCGGATTCTCAATCTGGATATAACCCTCCCTCAAACAAACAATGAGAGCCTTTTTCAACATCTTTCAACTCCCGGCGTCAGGCCACAATCCTGCTGGTAGGGGGACATGTCGTCGGCTGCCCAACAGGCCAAACAACTGGAACCTGGAAGTGTGCCAAACCTGAGATCCACTTCCCATTGCCAAACCTCTCTCTCTACCGAATTCCACACCTCCGTCGTGGGGGCCGCGGCCGAGATGGCCAGCGCACGTGGGGCCCAGCTCCTTTGGTTCGGATGAGGTGGAAGCTGTGAGTCAGGTGGGTAAGGTCCACCTTCCAGACTTCCAAAGAGGTGGATTTGTACTGGTGTGGAGTAAGTGTGAGTCTGAATGAGCCAACAAAATGAGCCTCGAGTCACAGCTGTTCTCACAGGTGGATGAAGACCTCTAGAGACTCTAGAGCAACTCAGGATCTGACAAGCTGTCTTTAAAACTTGTTCTTGAGACCCCACTGGAGCAACTTCTTGTGACATCTTTTCCTGCTCTCTGCTTTTCTAGTTTAGTGACTTATGTCATTATGTGAAGTTTCTTAGATTAGGTCAGTTGTTTGATGCTTGATAAGTCTAAAGTACCTGCAGATTTTGCTTATAACATCATATAGCTTGTGATAGTGAACAAAAAAACCTACTGCCCCAAGAGACTGAATTATCTGTAAATAATACAGTAGTAATTAATAGGATGCAATAAGACAAAGTTAGTCGAAATAATCTTGAACTAGCAGGGTTGGTCAAGTCAGCACGCTTGAACCCTCACAAGAATCCAGCCAGAAGAGGGATGAAGGCCAAACAGAATCGTTGGGCCTGGGGCCTAGGGGTTGGGTATGAGAAACAGACTTCGAGGTGAGCCTTCGCGTGTCGTGGTATGTGGAAGCATGACATGCTGCAAATGATATCAACTACTTAAAGTTTTTAGTGCGAGGGCTTCTTGGGCTCGTAGGGTTTAGGCCTCTGCACCAAACTCGGATTTGCGCTGTTGTCAACACATATTCTATAACCCAAGTTTAACTTTCTGTTTGCAAAGCCATTCGGAACCCAAAGCCTATGTGCCGAAATAGTATGTGTGGTGTTTGTTACTGTAAACACAGTGTATGTGGATTTGTCACAAGCATCAGATCGGCCTTCCATCAGCAGATCGACCCATGAGACAACGCCTGACACCTTTTCTCCGCCTGTGCCCCGCCCCAAACCATTGGCAAAATAGGGTTTCCCCTTGGGGAAGAAGAAATACATTGAGATTGTGTGGTCTTTGGTCTCAAGTCAGAAGGCACATGCAAAGCATTGCAGAGCTATCAAACAAAACTACGAGAACCCTGATTTGCTGGCAACATGGAAAACAAAATAAAAAAATGATAAAGGGAGCCAAATCTGCTTAATTGCTCTCTGATGTCTTTTTTTGATGTGACGTGTCATTGGAGCAGGTGAGCAAGCAATCTGTTCTTTGGAAAAAACAACCATGGGAGCTAGTTGATCAGCTCCATTCGCTCCTTGTTTTGCTTGTGCCCCCAACAACTATGTTGTTGGGGTTCTGCAAGACCAAATAGCACCAAAAGGACCCATTCTCAAACCCATTCGACCTGCTGTCTCCGCCGATTCACTGCGAAGACCGACCTGTTCGGACACAAAACGAAAAGAAACACCACCCTGAACCGCTGGGTTCCCATGATTCTGAACTCCGCTTCTGAACTTCGCAGATCACCCAAGAAGGCTTCAACAATAGGGAAGCCTCAGTACCTTGCAGACTAGGGAAGGCTACCTTGCAGAAATGCCTCAAGTTTCGACTCGTGTTCGCCACGCGCCACGTCTCCTAGGCTGTGAAGCCGAGCGCAGCGCCCAAGCCGCGAGCGCCGTGAGGCTCAGGAGGCCAAGCCATCGACTTCCTCGGCGGGTCCGAGCGGAAGAAAGACCGTGGAGGGCGCTGGGATGGAGGAGCGAAGGGCAAATTCGTGTTTTGGAGGTAGATCCGCTAGAAAAGAATGGAAGGCTTCATGAAGCTTCATGAAGAATAGACCAGTCATGTCATGAATACATTGAATACATGAGGAACATGGACCTTGCAACAAACCCAAGTCCTTTACAAGCAAGACATTTTGACAAATGTTGATTGTCACGTTGTTGGTCCAGAGTCCAGTGCTTTTTCAAGGGTGTAGGTGGGACATCCAGGGAATTAGATTGAATTTGATTGCCAATTGAATGGCTAGCTCATGATTGAGTCACTTTTGGAAGGCAAGCTCCGGCCAGCTGAACTCTGCCGTTTTGTACCTGCAGAAACTGGGTAACAAGGCCAACAAGAAACACATACGTTGGGACCAACAAATCCACCAGGTCAAGTGTTGGATCCAATGCCACACACGGTCACGTCCGACTTTGCGCATGTCCCTTTTGGGCAATAGAGCCCTGGTATGGATGATATCCCCCTGGTCATAGATGAACAACAATTTCAGCTAAGCCGACTTTCCGCAAAAGACACACATCAATCCCATGTTCATGCCTTTTCTTTATTGCAGGGCCGGTGTGTCACACCCACATGCTAATACACAGCTGAATTCCAATCCCTGGACCAGTATTCTCGCCAACCACTTTTGCCGAGTCGCTGTTGGGGCCACGCGCTGTGCCACGCGCCATGCAAAACTGACCCCACCAAGCGAGTGACCCGACCCGGAGCCTGAGAACCCCTGCGGATTGCGGATGAGAAGGTGAGAAGCTATGGAGCCCCAGTTTTTAGGTTTTTCACAAGGACGGACGGTCTTTAAAGTAACATCAGCATGAGTTTATGACCGGTCCAATGGCTAGCCATGGTTCCCTAAGAGGTGCAGCGACGGGTGCATCCCTGTTCGGATGCCACGTTCCGAACCCTGGATCCTCCAGTGCAGCCCACCGGAAGAAACATATGCTTTATGAAGGTCTCCACCAGCGAATGGATATATATGTAGGCTCGGCATGGTGGCCCCAAAGCAACCGACCGAGCGCGATGTGTGTAAGAGAAGGCGCAGCAGTTCCATGTCATGGCTTTTAGTCCCATCCAGCCATCCAGTGAGTGGATGATGGGCACTGCTGCACTCCAAAACGCAGACACTTCATGTATGGCATATTTACAGTACCTACTTTCACCCCTGAAACCACCCAAATGTATGTAAATATTCCACACATGGAGTGGATAGGCACCTCTTTTGAATGCTGGTATACACATCGTGGTCCATCTTCCTTGCAAACACTTGTGCAATTGCTGGGGTCATCAAAACGTCCTGCACCACTGGAAATCCTGTGGACTCAACAAAAACGTGGGATTCTTCATGATTCTTCTATCAATAGTAGTTCCGTTTGTTTAAACAGCTATGGGAAACCTGAGAAGCTGCAAAACGAAAGCCAGCGCTCCCTTTCTCGACAACTGCGCGTCGAAGCAAGCAAATGAGCTCGCGCAGCTGCTTGCGGCCGCGTGTCAAATCTGCTTCATGTCTTGTTCTGCTCACACAGAGGTAACCATGTCAAAACAAAAACCTGCGCTTCCTGGCAATTGAGGGGTTCGGTGTCATTTTGCCCGGATTTTTCCTCTGCACAGGGGGGGGTTTGGATGGAATCCGATGTTTTAGGCCGTAGCCAAATCTATCCACATTGACATGATTTGGTGTCTACCAGGACCTTCAAAGTGACCGTCCGAGATCCCAGAATGAGGTCACTTAGTCACTTAGTCCCGAATGAGGTCACTTGGAGACTCCAAAGAGGTCATTCTGAAGGTCCTGGTGTTTCATTCCACTTCCAGTAAGACTAAGATCCTTTGTTTCTGGTGGCTATGCGCAAGCGACTCATGCTCTTCAAGGAGTGCTGTACGTGAAGTATCGGAGTGCTCTTCTAAAGCTAGCCTGGGTCCGTATAAATACTATGTTGCTATACCTCTTACACACCTACACAAGTTCAAAGCACGAATGAGACTTCAAAGCTGTGGATTGCTGTGCGTGTGTAGAGGCTATCGAGCGGTTGACGGAAAGGGAACTTGAAGTACTATACCTGGTAGCTGCACTATAGCTACCCTGGGTCTCTATACCTAGCAAGGTGCCAACTACACCTTTATTTTCAAGGTGGCCTGAACAGAGT